TTGTAATTTTGGTCCAAATTTTCATCCCACATTTGAAGTGTTTGTAAATTTAAACACTGTGAACTTGAGACTGAGACTTTTGGATTCTGAAGGAAGGGAAATATGGAATCGAAGAATCGTTCTCGCATGAAAGAATTACAGATGTTGCTAGCATTGTAACTTTTAAACACATTGTAACACTTGTTACAAAGTAAAATTAATATCAAAGATTGAATATTTAACAATCTACACTGTTTTTACACCTTTTATGACAATTTTGAAGATTATTGGATTACAGGAAAATACAATTTCAGTCTTTCTACTTAAAGCTGCAGTCTGTAAGTTTTGCCTTTGTCACCATCTCTGTTTGAAAACCTGCAATTGCAGTTATTTGCACAATTATCTTCATTACGTGGGTCATGCACAGGCACGGCTGCAGCGCGGATGAATCTAATGTTTAGAAGAGTATGTGTGGCTGTCAATCACCGCACTGGTGTGTATACTGTACTTCAGAATCACAGCCTACGTCTTGGAATATATTACCCAAATAAGAATTTTCACCAGATATTGTCATCTAAACAAGTAACAAGTCTGCCACCTTTGTTCTGACCAACTGAGGAAAAAAGCATTACAATAAATCGCGCTACCAATGGTGATCTAATCTAAGGATCGGTTAACTAATATCACATCAAACCGTGCAAATTATTAGGTTGGCTTCAGAAAGCCAACCTACTGATCTGCTATTTAAGCTTCTTCTTCTACTTCTTCTTATCATTCTTATGAGACTAAAATTTCTGAACGCTACTCCTCCTAGAGATTTCAAGCTAGAACCACTAAACTCATTCCATCTCTTCAGACTGATCTGATTTAGTGTGCTTTATCTTTTCTAACTGATCCGATTTATGGTTTTCATAAAACTGAACATTAAAAATAATAAAAAATCCCATAGACTTACATTGACAGAATGTTCAGATGAGCCAAGACTATTCAAACTCCAACTGTCAAAATTCAAATCTAAACACACTGAAGCCTATTAGACTCAATCAGACTTCCCTATTTCTAATCCATTCAAACTCATCTATCTATCTATCTATCTATCTATCCTAGCGACATGTTAATCATGCTAGAAACATACAAACAACATGCTAGTAGCATGCTAATAATGCTAGCAACATGTTAATAACATGCTAATCATGCTAGAAAAATGCTAGTGACATGCTAGTAACTTGCTAATCATGCTAGCAACATGCTAGTTACTTGCTAATCATGCTAGAAACATGCTAATCATGCTAGAAACATGCTAGTAACTTGCTAATCATGCTAGCAACATGCTAGTAACATGTTAATCATGCTAGAAACATGCTAGCGACATGCTAGTAATTTACTAATCATGCTAGCAACATGCTAGTTACTTGCTAATCATGCTTGAGACATGCTAGTAGCATGCTAATCATGCTAGCAATATTATAGTAACATACTAATCATGCTAGAAACACGCTAGCGACATGCTAGTAACTTGCTAATCATGCTAACAACATGCTAGTAACTTGCTAATCATGCTAGAGACATGCTAGCAGCATGCTAATATCTTGTTAATCGTGCTAGTGACATGCTATTCACTTGCTAATCATGCTAGTAACATGCATATCCTGCTAGAAACATGCTAGCAACATGTTAGTAACTTGCTAATCATGCTAGTAACTCTAGTAACTTGCTAATCATGCTAGTGACATGCCAGTCACTTGCTAGTCATGCTAGCAACATGCTAATCATATGCTAATCTTGCTAGCAACATGCTAATCAAGCTAGAAACATGCTAGTGACATGCTAGTAACTTGTTAATCATGCTAAAAACATGTTATCAACATCTAATCTATATAAATTTTCAAATTTAAGGCTTTTACAACGGCTTTAAACTTTCAGGCTAGGCTTTCTCAAGCCAACCTAAAGTTTGTCTTGACAAACTTTTTTTGTCTAGTTATTATTGTTCTACTTTGTTCTCAAATTGTTAATGTTAACAACATCAGCATTGCGTGACTTGCTATATAGTGTGTATTAGCGTGTAGATTTCAATTTCTGTACAGTCTAATCTCTAATTGTCATACCATTTGAATTTCATATTAAGAAATTCTTTTAACCCAAAAAGAAAATTATTCTACCTTCGATCTGGTTCTCTTTAAAATACAAATCTTGTGTATCTCTTCAGTCACTTACATGTGTTTCATAAACACATAATCCTTTCTGGATTACAATCTGCCATCAAAATGATAAATTTAATTATTCCAGCTTCTGTGAGAAAAGGCTATAAACGATCCGTCACCTGCAGGATTCTCACATGCGATATAGCCTACTAGCCAGGACTTGTTCTTTATGTTTACAGATGTGACGTAATGACGCAGCAGCATGCTCAAATTTCCCGCAGATTCCTACCAGTACCACTCAAATTAGAAAACATTAGTATAAGCTTACCAGCATTGTGAATCGGGCTAAAGTAAGGCGATAGTTTTGAACACTGGCTGGTTATGTACTTGTTCAAATATTGATTTCATTTAATTTTTTACCAAAAAAGTTACACACTGCAGTCTGCAGCTTTAAAAAGTTTCACATTGAATTCAGTGTTAGTTGCCATTTCTTTACAATTATTTTTAGTAGCAATTACTGAGTGAAAGTTGTTTCCTAGCTTTAAAGTAAATCCTACTCCAAAATTTTTCTGTGTAATCAACAATTCTTTATCAATGTATTAAGCTGGACACTTAGGTGATCAATATAGATTGAACCTATGTTAAGCATTTTATCTAACGCATTGTACAAAATTCAATATTATGATCTGTGAAGTCTTTATTGATGTATAATACGTAAATTACACTGTTATGGTGTATATAAATTAAAGTTGCATTTATGCAGATTATTCAGTGATCAAATGTCTGTATTTATGAATAACATCAGGTAAAGATGCAGACCCTCCTGCTCACAAAAGGCTCACAGGAATGAACTCAAAGATATACAGTATTTCAACTGTTTTTTTTAAATCTATCTATCTTTCTAACAACTTATTATTAAGTTATTATTAAATATAATAATAATTATTATTTATATATGTTTATTTATTTCAACCAGAATGTGAATTTGTGGAAAAAAAGAAAACACAGAGATTAACTCATTCGGAGAGTTTCATCAGTGATGATTGCTGATGGTCTGAGAACCAAAGACATAATTACAGATTAAATGTAGCCTACAGTAAAGTTCATGCTGCAGAACCACGACAGGAGAAAATGAGACTATTGTTAGATGTTCTTGACTCTGGAGGAGCTGTTGTAAAAGCAGAATTCTGCAGACTGCTGAAGGAGAAGGAGCATTATCTAGTAGATTAACTGGAGTCTGGACCCAGTAGACCAAAGTAATGCTAAGAAAACATCAGAGAGGAACTTCAGGCAGTTTGAGACATAAACAGCAGCTACAGCTTCTTTATACATGTATATAGATTGAACAAGTTGCTTATATTCACAAAAATATATATATACAAGATAATCACAAAAATATTTCACTACAAATTATATTACCGGCATGAACTCCATATGTTTGTGTAAAAACCTGATGATCGTTTCTCCAGCATGATTTAAGAATGATCCAAATAGCATATTTACTGAATCCATGAATTCAAACTATTACTTTCTTGTAACTTAACAAATTTTCTTTGTTTTAATTTTTTTCAAAATCCACAATTTGTATCCAGATTTAAATCCCCAAATTTTGTTTGTGGTCACATCTGTACTGTATGTATGAGTTGTCTCATTAATATTCTTATGTTTTACTGTGTAAGATTTGTTTAATGTAAGGTCTATATATAATGCTATATGACAATGTAAATGTTTCTATGTGATAATACTGTGGAATGTAAAACAGCCTATGTAAATGTTGCTAGATGGGAATAACAATAAACAACATTAAACAATATAAAATAAATTTTTATGTATATATTTTTAATGTATTTATTTATTTATTGGCGTTTTTGCCTTTATTCTGATAGGACAGTCGAGTAATGACAGGAAGTGAAGTGGGAGAGGGGGGGTGGCAGATCAGCAAAGGTCCGCGAGCCGGACTCAAACTCGGGAAGCCCGTTGCATAACAGCAATATGTCAGCACGCTGCCCACAGGGCTACTGGGGCCGACATACAGTTCTTTTTTAACAGGAGCATTAGGGGCAATTCCAGGATTTTCATTTTAGGGGGGCTCAGCCCTCAATGAGGGTATAATATTGTAATGTCTGAAGAATGACAGACAAATGACTTTCCATGTATTCACGGGGCAAGTCGATCACGATGGAGCACTACTGTTCGCCGTCGTCGTCCTCCCAGCTTGACCTGGTACACAACATCAGAAACCTTGGCCATCACCTCACATGGGCCATGCCAGTGACTGTAGAGCTTCGGAGAATAACCCTTTTTCTTTTTGGGGAGTAAACCCAAACTCTGTCCCCAGCAGCGAAGTCTCTGTTGTTACTGTGGACATCGTATGCCCGTTTCTGCTTGGCTGACGCAGCTCCCTGTCGGTCCCGGGCTCCCTCATGCACTACATGGAGTCTGTTCCGCAGCTTTTGCAAATACTCCAATCCCGGTATCCCAGGAATCTCTGGTTCGGGTGGGGGGCTGAAAATCAATTCCACCGGTGTTCGTAGTTCCCGGCCGAACATAAGGGTAGCCGGTGTGCACCCCGTAGACTCTTAAACTGCCGTTCGGTAGGCCCAGAGTACCAGGGGTATGTGTCGGTCCCAGTCACGCTGGTGCTCACTGGTTAGGATGGCTAGCTAGGTGGTCAGGGTACGGTTGAAGCGTTCCACCAATCCATCACTCTGTCGATGGAGGGGAGTTGTGCATGTCTTGCGCAACCCCAGGAGGTGACACACTTCTTGGAACACTTCAGCCTCGAAATTGCGTCCCTGATCACTGTGGGTCTCATTTGGGGTTCCAAATCTGCAGAACATCTCCGCCACCAATTTCTCTGCCGTGGTGGCTGCACTCTGGTCAGGTATTCCCCTTCCCCTTCTTGATCTTCAGGAGATGCTGTAGTGCCCCTTCAAAGTCTGGTGCATGCACCAACAGGTCATCCAGATACACCATGCAGCAACGGTGGGAGACACCTGTCAAGACCTGTTCCATCAACCGGGAGAAGGTGGCTGGAGCGTTACAAAGGCCAAATGGCATTACACAGAACTGCCATAGCCCCTGGCCAATGGTGAAGGCAGTCTTTGGTTTGGCCTCCGGAGCCAACTCCACCTGCCAGTACCCACTCTGGAGGTCAAGGGAGCTAAACCAACTAGACCCCGCGATATAGTCCAAGGTGTCATCGATTCGTGGTAACGGGTAAGAGTCTTTTCTCGTGACCGCGTTTAAGCGACGATAGTCCATGCAAAATCGCCAGGAGGAGTCCTTTTTGACGAGCACAGTTGGGGCTGCCCACGGGCTGTTAGATGGCTCGATTACTCCAGCCCTTTCCATCTCTTGGATCTTTTGCTCTGCTGCGGTCTGTTTGTCCAGTGCTAACCGGTGTGGTCGCAAGCGGATGGGAGAAGCTGTGCCGGTATCAATGTCGTGCTGTACTAGCCCCGTTCGTCTACAGTCTTCATCTTATGCAGCGAAGATGTTAAGTCAAGTCAAGTTTATTTGTACAGCGCTTTTCACGATACAAATCATTGCAACTTTACAGCAAATTAAGTTTCTACAATATTTAGTGGTAGCTTTTCAGTGGTGACTGAATGTCCTGGTTGCGGTTAAGCACGTCCCGCAACTGTTGATGCTGGTTGGGGGTAAGTCCTTCACTGCTCCGTTGCCACAGCTCCTGAACGGCCTGTACAGTCTCTTTTGATGGGGAGGTACTGGCGCGGTGAACTTGGCCGGCGTGGTGCTGACATCCCCGGGATTAGCTTTTAATGTGAGTGCTGGACTATTCTGCTCAGCTGCTTGCCCCCTTACTGGGCCCAAGGCCACATCAACCGCCCTTTGCCCTTTCTTTAAGGGAACGACTTCCCGACCAATTTGAAGGTAAGCCCCGACCACGTTTATACAGGCCCCACTCAGCGTCAAAAAGTCTAGTCCCATAATACAAGCATTTTCTATGTCCGCCAACCAAAACTCATGGACGAAAACACCTGCAGGCGCCTTCCTCCTTTAAGGGCCACCTGCTCTTCAGTTACCGTTCTCATCTGCATCGTAGCGGCTGACCACCCGGTTGGCGTTGACCCTTCCGTTCCAGGCAGGGTTCCCGGACGGACAATGGAAATAGTGGACCCCGTGTCGATGAGGGCTCTGCTGGCATGCCCGTTTAGAACACAGTACACGTACAAACCCTGTGTATAAAGTCTGTGCGCTACAATATATATATGCGTCAAATGCGTTCATATGTGCTTCATTTTCACTGGAGGAAACCTGTGGTGTGAGGGGTGAACGCAGCGAAAACTTAGGCTACAGTAGATGGGGAACCGATTGCTCCCCCATGATATTTTGTAAATTGTATTTATGACAAAGAACTGCATAGATGCAGATATTATAACAATCTATCGACAAACACACACCTTGTCCTTTGTTTCTCGCTCAGCTCTGCCGCGGCCTGCAGATTGAACAACGCGCTGAAAGACATTTTCATATGAAATTTAAAGGGGACTGAGGCGATCACAAATTCGTGTACAGTTTATGGAACTAATCGCAAAATTTTAGGGGGGCTGAGTAGTCATACTACTCTGAGTAGTCATCTATAACCCTAAAATAAAATAACCCTATAATAAAATGCTTTTATATTTGTAGGCTATCTATTCTTCATCTTCATAATACAGATTGCTGATTGTTTAACTACTGTAAAAGCAGAATTCTACAGACTGCTGAAGGAAAAGGAACCTCATCCAGTAGATGAACTGGAGTCTGGACCCAGTAGACCCTAATACAAAACAAAGATTTGATTTCTCAATCCCAATGATCCACACTTTGGCAAAACCAATGATAAGTCTTTCCTCTTTGTTGCAGCACATTATCAAGCAAACATCACTTTGCAACCCTTTACGGACACCTTGGCAATTGAATCGGCATTGGTTATTACATTTTTTTGTTTACTCGCCAGACTGAAATACTATACTATATATATATGTATATATATATATATATATATATATACATATATATATAGTATAGTATTTCAGTCTGGCGAGTAAACAAAAAAATGTAATAACCAATGCCGATTCAATTGCCAAGGTGTCCGTAAAGGGTTGCAAAGTGATGTTTGCTTGATAATGTGCTGCAACAAAGAGGAAAGACTTATCATTGGTTTTGCCAAAGTGTGGATCATTGGGATTGAGAAATCAAATCTTTGTTTTGTATTAGGGTCTACTGGGTCCAGACTCCAGTTCATCTACTGGATGAGGTTCCTTTTCCTTCAGCAGTCTGTAGAATTCTGCTTTTACAGTAGTTAAACAATCAGCAATCTGTATTATGAAGATGAAGAATAGATAGCCTACAAATATAAAAGCATTTTATTATAGGGTTATTTTATTTTAGGGTTATAGATGACTACTCAGAGTAGTATGACTACTCAGCCCCAGGCGAAAATTACATGTAAACAATTTTAAAGCTATGCTCATCATTGGTCTGGTTACTGGTATAGGGCTATAGCCAAGCCGTTAAAATTAGACCATAGATTGCCTCGATTTCACCAGGTGGGCTAAAAGCAGACTACACCTGGCCATCCAATTTAGAGCTAAACCGTGGCTACATATAGACTATGTCATGCAATGACACTTATATCTTTGTAGATATTATTGACACTGCGAACATGATGGGATATCGACCATCTCATGCGCTGTCTGGCCAAAAACTACAGTAAATCAGGTTTGACTAAAAGTGGGCTACAGATAGCCGCTCTGACTACGAGCTAAATCGTGGCTACGCAGAGGCTAAGTATTGAACATTTCAACGAAATGACACCAAACACCTTGTAAACGTTGTTGACTTTGCTTACATGATGGAATTTCATAAATCTCACAAGTTATTTTGCAAGAAAACGACATGAAACCAAATTCAAGGTTATTTGGGCTAGAAGTGGGTTACACATAGCCGGACTATATCGGGTCTAGTTAACCGAGATGTTGAACCCAGCTAACAAAAAAAGGTCCCCAGGACGTCCCCTAAATGGCCTCTGCGAACGTCCCCCGGACGTCAGCGTGTAGGGCCCCCTTGACGTCGAGCGGACGCTCAAAACGTCCGCCAGCGAACGTTACACAGCGGACCAAATCCGGACGTCCTCCGAACGTCCGCCCGCGAACGTTACAGAGCGGACGTACTGCGGACCTAAACGGACGTTCGGAATGTCCGGGGGACGTCCCCTGTTTGCTGGGAAATGACAGCTATTGCTTGCTGGGATGACACACACAGGCCTATATATAAGTATAACTGATATAGGCTTATGTTTTATTTGTTTTTTCCTTTTTATTCCCAAACGTGTTAACTATATAATGAAATATCTATATTCTCAAATATGTAAATGCATTTTGTACCTTAGATTATGTTAGTTGATCTATAATGGCCGATGGGCAAGCCTGTAGTGGAATCTAGGCTATTAACTACTCATAAAAACCCATCTTTTTACTTAAGTACCAGATATGGGTGTCATGCCATAAAATATTTTTAATACGACTGACTTTGTAGCCTATTTAATGTGAATTTAATAAAAAACATTGTAATTTAATTATAACACTTTCATTGTACAGAAAGAAAGCACATTTATATTATGAAAGAACATTTTAAGCACTCTCAAAAACTCTCATTATAATCACTGAAGCTGTTTACACTGTATATGTATATCCTACTTACATCGTATGCACATCTGCACTTTGTTGTTTCTGATGAGAGAATTCGTCAAAGAGCAGAATTCCTTCAGCGAGCGAGCGAACAAAACACTGGCATTTCAGCGATGACTCATCTGAAAGCCTCTGATTGGTCATTGCATTCATAAGCTCTACAAAATCGTGTGGTAAAACTAAAAACTTGTCTGTATCTGGCTCAGCGCCAGCCAAAGAATGCAGATTTGAGTTTAGCAGCTGGTGCTGTTCAGCACTGCATGTTCTAATCACGCCTGTGTGATTGTATAATATAAAAAATATTATTCGGCTATTTTTTTTTGTATTTTGGAAGCTGCATTCAAAATCCATTTGGCTCAAAAATCTGAGGGGGCACGTGCATTGTGCCCATTGAATGGGCATGACGCCTCTGTTTATTAGGCACAATACGTACGATTATCTCAGATAGAGTGACTGCATTAAACGGATAAACTAAATACAACTAATATAACTAGAACATTTTCTATATTGAAGAACTGCTGGTGAGTTGTTTTTTAACAGGTTTATTTGCATGAACAGTCCATAGCTTTGATCATCTTTGTAGTGTGTGATGGTCTGTCCTAGCTTACGGCTGGAAAGATAGTGGTTCATTCCCTGCAAAGAATGAGACCTCAAAAGTTTTTGATGACTTTTAAATGCTTTTCAGATTTCTCAATCAGACAAAGATCCCAAGTCTGATTTTAATGGTGAATGTCTAAATTACGTTTATCTTATAAATGTGTCTTACAGATACTGCACACTCTTCTAAAGACTAATTTGTCATCTTTTGTTTCAAACAGAAACTGAATTTGTGAACACACAGAGATATACTCATTGATAGAGTTACATCAGCGATGGCAATTGCTGACAGTCTGAAGAGCAAAAACATGATTACTCATGAAATGTAGAGTAAGATTCATGCTGCAGAACCACGACAGGAAAAAATGAGACTCTTGTTGGATGTTCTTGACTCGGAGGAGATGATGCAAAAGTAGAATTCTGCAGACTGCTGAAGGAGAAAGAACTTTGGCTAGTAGATGAAGTGGCGAGCCTAATTTATAAAACATGCATACATTTTTTGATCTTAGAGCGTATACGCTAAACGTCAACGTTCAGATTTATAAAAAACATCTTTGACGTGGAAAAGAGCTAGCGCCATATCAGATTCTAAGCAGACGTATGTACTTTTGAGTCCCGCAGGTATTTGGAAATCTAAGCAATTCTAGATCATCGGATGCCCATTTTCCACAAGTTGATATGATTCGTTATGAGTCTTAATTAAAAGTCTATAACATACTTTGGTTAAAATTTCTCAATGGTAGTGTAAAAAACACCCTTTTTACCTTTTCAAAATCAGCTCTGCAGAAATCAACCCGTTTTTTGCATGTTGCTTTAAATGCTAATGAGCTCTGCTGACCCCGCCCCTTCTCTTCTGTGACCAACGGTGCTTTGAGAGACTGTTTACTTTAGCAGCATTTAGCTGCAAAACTTGATAAGTAGCACTTTATTAGGAACAGCGATTGCAAAGATTCATTAAAAAAAAACCTTATACTCACTTCTGCTGTAAGTGAAGCTGGATCACGAATGATTCGCACGAACATAAATGCATTTAGGTAGATCGGGGGCGCATTCCTTTCACAAACAAAAGTAATCCACTGCTTTTTCAGCGGCTCAGATGTCGGGAGTAATTGACGACTGCTATGTTCATTATTACATCCAACAAGAGAACACCGCAATCGCTTAGGAGCCATCCTTGTCTACATCTGCTCCTGCTGTGAAACAATGGCAGTTGGGCTGATACAGCTCACTCAGGGCGGGTCCAAGGTAAGACGGCACTGTCAATCAACAATCGTGGGAGCGGCCTTCATCCGTGTGATGTCACACAGACAAGAAGCTGAGAACGGCCTGATTTGAAAAAGGGGATATTATTTTTAGGGATTAAATAAAAACCAGGGGTTGGATTTTTATCATTATAGGGTAGATATGTACACACACTTGTGTTCAAACAACATGTAAAAGTGAAATTAGCATCCTATGACCACCATATATGCTCACCATTCTCAAGTCACAAATTTGAAATGTTCCCTTTATTTATGTTCTAACTTCTAATGTTATATTTTTACTGTTTTCAAAATCTTATAATTAAAATTAAATTGTAATTACCATATTTTCTTTTTGGTCCCCATTGTATATGCATGTTGATTGTGTCAATGTATTTTTTTTTTATGAGGTATGTACTGTGTGATGTTACTGTATGACAATGAGTCAGTATGAAAGATGTTTTTATTGTATAATACTGTGGAAAAATAACCACATACAATTAAAAAAAAAGACACTGTAAAAGTTGCTGTGGGGAAAAAGCACATGGGTCATATTTTTCTTTTGTACTTTACATTTTAACATGAATAAAACAAACATAAACAAAAAGTCAATAATAAACACAATATGAAGTACAGGTCTTTTTTTAACAGGAGCATGAGGAAATAGATCTCAAGAGTCTCACTTAAACATGCTCTCACATTCACACAATATAAACACAGTATTGCACATTCATTCCCTCATCTTTCCTCTTCTCTGATATGTGAATTTGATTCGTCAAATTCATTGTCCTCTCGTCATACATAAAGGTGCCAAATACGTTTTAAAGTCATAAAGAGATCTAACATGGATAGTTTATGAAAACCCATATTGTAAATGTGTGCCTGCAAACTTTAACAGAGCAGCTCCTATAACCAATTCACTGTGAAATTTCTACTTTATTTCAAAAACTGACAAACCTTATTAAAAATGCTAATTTGTTGAACCAAAATGTATTGATCATTGCATATTTTGAATGTTTAAACTTTTAGTATAGGCCAAAAGGTGATGTACATTTCAGCAGATTAAACCTAAATTTTTCAGCCAGATTTAAATTCCACAGCAGAAACATCTTCTGCTTTTCTGCAGAGCAGGAAGGTTTTTGAGCTAATAATAAAAGCCCTTCTTTATTTTGCATAAAAGATATTACAGAAACTCAGGACTTGAATGAATAAATCGCTTCCATTTTAGTATTATTTTAAACTTTGCTCTTATGATCTGATTCAACATCCCTTTACAGAATTTAGACAAATGTATAAATCATGAACATAAAAAAATGTTTTAAAACAATTTTCTCCTTTACATTGCTTATACCAAAAACCATTGAATCTCTGACCCCTTACCTCCATCTTAGAAAAATACTATAAAAGCGCTTTCAAATGCAATTTAGTTCAGATACAAATATGGAAAAGCACTCTACTCTACTTTGTAAGTGTGAAGGACAAATACATGGACACTTCAGAGAAAGAGATTGATCACATTCAGTTATTTCCTCCACATCAGCAAGCACACACTCTCACACACACATAGAAACACAAAGCGTCAAATACTCATGAGGTTGTCTTGGAAGGAGGCAGAGCGTGTGTTCAGAGAAGAGTCCGTAAGCTCACTTTGACACTCTGTGAGTAGCATCCATTTGTAAAAAAAAATCCTAAAATGTTACATAAACTCCAGCTTTCAGAGTTAAAAGCACTGGTGGCGTTTACCCAGATACTCACGTCGCCGTCCTATCAGAAGAGTTCAAACTGGCAGCGGACAGCTATTCCTACGAGGAGCTCGGGCAGTGTGAGCAGTGGTGATGTGAGCGGGCCGTACGGTGAGTTATTTCACAAGCGATTGTCGGCACCTGCAGTATTCTTCAACTCGCTGACTTGTTCTGCAATATCACATTGTGGATTATACAATCAGTGTGAGCCCACCCACAATTCCCATAATTTAAAACGCATCATATTTTATTAGGTTGATTGATGGGACAGATCTAAACAGGTCCAGTGTAAACTCCAGTGCATAGCGATCAGGCTTTCACTGGGCTTTACATCCAATAGTTGATGGCTTCTGCTGCCCTCCAGCCTTCTATTGGCCATTCTTTCAGCCAATACAATTCACATGGAGAAACCCGTCCAATGGCTGCTTTGCAGTGTCTCATTTAGGTGCAGAGATTTTAGAGGATTGGTTTTACCACATCAACCCATCTTCTTCAAATTAGGAAAGAAGAGGGAAAGATGATAAGGTTTACATGCTTTCTCTCCACTCATCGCTGTGACCTCTTGTGATTTCCTCTTCTGCTGCAGTCATTTATTAATTTGGCACTTTTTTTCTCTCAATCATATTGTTGTAAAGGTAGAAAACACAATGTGTGTGTGTGTGTTTGCATATAGTTGTGTTGGAGAGAAAGTTTCAGACTGTAAGAGTGTGTAAAAATGAACGTGTACCATATATTTTCATCCACGGAAGTGGTTTTTTGTTGGCAAGTGTGTCTGTTTCACACATGAGTCTGCATTCTCTGCGTGTGTCTCTGAGAGTATTCTGTGGGCGGGGTTGAATATGGAAATTGGGCAGAGCTGGGGTATTTTCCCGCATTAGCATCTTGACTCGTCCCCACCCCTTGTCCCGTAGGATACATTTCATAGGCTGGTCCTGCCTCCAAAGGTGGGGCGAAGCCTAACCTGTATTGAGGTGTCGTTGAATAAGCGTAGCTGTCAAAAGCCAGCGGATTGGTTGATTCCAGCAAGCCACGTTCTCCAGAATAGTCTGTGGGCTTGGAGACAGGCTTGGGTGGGGCTTGGATTTGCGATGCCCTGGCAATGGTGTTAAAATGGGCGTATGTGTTGTGAGCCATTCGGGAAGCAGGCCGGGGCTCGTAGCGGCCTGTGGGTGCCGGGTGAATGTTGGCCACTGGGCCGCCGGCTGTTGCCGAAACTGAAGCGGGATTCGGTGGCCGAAATTCCTGGTACAGCAGGGAGCGGGTAGAGGTGCGGACCTCGTCATGTGTCGTAGCTCGAACATTGTAGTAGCCGTTGGTGGGGTCCTGAAATGACAAAAATATAATATTTCACTGATATAATATATAATATTTCACAATTAACACTGCTCAATTTCATGGATTAAACTCAGCCTTTGCAATAGGAATCTGCAAAATTGAGAGCTTTGTGTGAGTCATCACACAAGTTGGTCATGTTTTGCTGAAATTTCACTAATGTGACCACACATTTAGTCCTGGTTTATAGGCACTGTATAGGAGTGTGTGAACATCTGTGTGTTTTACTTTGCACACACTATCGTTAAAAAGTGTGGGGTTGGCAAGATTTGAAAGATTTTGATAAGAAAATGTTTTCTGTTTTGGTGACCATTTATTTAATCAAAAATACAGTAAAACAGTATTTTAATTTAAAAAAACTTACATTTAAATTTTATATTAAAAAAAAACTTTTCTATTTTAATATATTTAAAAATGTAATTTATTATTTTTACTTCAGCGTTCAGTATCACATGACCATTCAAAAATCATTCTAATATGCTGAATTTATGCTCCAGAAACATTTCATATTATTATCATTATGTTGATTATTATTATTATGTTGAAAACTGTAGTGCTTCTTAATATTTTTGTGGAAACTGTAATACATTTTGTTCAGTATTCTTTGACTGACACCAAACTTCTGGGAAAAACTATTCAAAAATGTATATTTTAGGAAAACAACCCCATAAAAATGTTGAACCATAGCTATAATACTTCCTCTGTCTGTGTCAAACATTAAAGGTAAAGTGTGTAATTTCGGCACCACCAGCATCAGCAAACAGGATTGGAAAAATAAGTACAGCCTTCAAAAACACTCCTCCTGTTTGCTATTGGTCAGGCAAATAGATAGCCCCGCCCCAAACTCACAGCATTGGTTGAGCCAATGTTACTGCGTGAGGCTGGTTGGGGTCTCAAACAGTGAAATGTTTTGATGGTGCCACAGTATTTTTTTTACACTTTTAGAGGCAATCAACCTACTTATTAAACTTAAACTAACAGTAAACAGGAATTCCAAAACACTTTGGAATACACGTCTCCTTTAAGTATAGCATTGATGTCTATATGCACCTGCGCTGTTTCTTACCTTGGGCTCATACTCCTCCACCTTGGGCTCCACCGTGTCGCTCTGGAGGTCCTGCTTCAGGTCCATGTCATCTTTGAAGGGCTGGGTGGAGGGAGAGAGGGAGACAGAGGGAAGAAACTAAACCATCAAACAACAAAACACACACACGGAGAGAGGGAGGAAGAGAGAAGGAGAGAGAGGGAGGAAAACAGGATATCAGCTTTATCAGAATTGGTGAAGAATAAATGTTCTTTAGTTTGTGGTGGAAAGAAAGTCTTTCACCATTAGAAACTTTTTATTTACAGATTTATCTTTTATCTATTCAACAATATCTTTCTTGAATTCTTTCACTGTTATGGATAAAATTAAGCAGAAATGGCCCATTTTGAAAAACACTAAAACTGGCTGCTCCTAAACTCACTAAGTATGTTTACATGCACTTTAATAGTTTGATTTCAGTCAGACTAAAAGTTCATATAAATGCTTTAGTTTGACTAAAAATGTACCAATCCAGCGTTTGCTGCCAAAGCTGGACTAGATCATGTGATTGTAGAGACTTTATAGAGCAGTTGAACCATATTCAAAAAACCCCAGATGCTTCCAGCAGCAAGTAATTTTTCTGTTTACACTGAAAGCAAAAATGCAGCACGACGAAATATAATCACAACGATCACAATATGTTCGATATTTTGTACTGCTACACTACCATTCAAAAGTTCAGGATCAGTGAGATTTTCTTTTAAAAGAAATGAAAATGAATAAATGAAAATAAATAAAGAAACCTTTATTCAGCAAGGAGCCATTAAATTGATCACAAGAATAAAACCTTTCTATTTCAAATAAATGCTGTTCTTCTGACATTTCTATTCATCAAATAATCCTGAAAAATATGGTTTCCCCAAAATATTACACAGCACAACTGCTTTCTACATTGATAATAATAAGATTTTTTTTTTAGCACCAAATCAGCATATTAGAATGATTTCATGAGGATCTTGTGACACTAAAGACCGGAGTAATGATCTATTACAAGAATTACATTTTAAAATATTTTTCAATAATATAATATAATATTCTTATTTTGCTGTATGTTTGGTCAAATATATGCAGCCTTTGTGAGCATAAGAGACTTCTTTCAAAAAATTTTAAAAACCTTACCGACCCCAAACATTTGAACTGCAGTGCTCTTTACGGAGAAACCAAATGCCCCACAAAATTTCTCGTCACACTTCTCTGTAGTTGGTTAGGTTAAAACCTGCAAACTAACCACTCTAACAAAACAGACTTTAACCACTCTAACTCTAACATGACAGACTTAAGTGCAAAATGCCCCTAGTATCGTCATTTTTTAAAGAAGTCTTTATTTCTTTATTTTTTATGATAACAAAATATCACGTCTGACCATATATTTATGAATGTTATATCAGACAGCCTGACAGTCTAATTTATGCTATAGATACTCACAGAATACATAGCCTTTACCATTCGTGTAGCTGTGGAGGCGCCGGCAGCCTCTTCCTCAAGACTGTGAGTTTCCTTGTTGACCGTTTCCACCTTAATGTCTGGCTTCAACGTGACTCCACGACGACCTGCAAGCATAATAGATCACTGACTCAAAGCCGCACATAATTTTAATCAATGAAATGATTTAATGGTTCCATTAAATCATAGCAGTTTATAGGCATTGGTCTGAAAGCAAGATTATGATTTCTCTCATTTTATTGTTACAGACTGAACCTACGACCTTTGCGTGAGCAGGCTGTTCCATAAAAAGGTAGGGCACATAAATCTTTAGCATGTGTCTCATTGAAACGGATATTTTGCATTGCCTTTGGCTGCCGTCAAAGTTTCAATGAAAAAAAAAGCATAAAACTGTTTTTGCGTAAATGGTAAAACCTGCTGAGAATTTTCTTCTGTTTCTGTTAAGTTTGCAATTTTCAGCAATGTTTATTCTAATTTCAGTTTTTTTTTGTTTAAAATGTGTTTAAATTTAGCATTAATTAAAAGAAGCATATTAACTATTTTTGTAAATATAACTGCATATAAATACATTACAATTCAAATATCCATTATTTTCATTTCACACAATTGGTGAGGGAAGAGTATTAACAAAAATGTTAATAGTAGCTCTAAAAATAGAATTATTATTGAAATGAATAAATAAGCAACATATATTGTGGTAAAATATGCGGTAAAATATGATTTAGATGTTTTAGACATGCTTTTTTTTTCTTTTCTGTCTTGTAGCCACACGGGGGCACCAAACCATAATCAAGCATTTTACACTTTTTTTTCACCATTTGACTTTCAGAGCATTGCCTTTTAATACAAATGTATATTTATTTTCTTAGAAATTCATCACAAGCAAATGAACATGAAACACAGATGCACACACACAGAGCCACACACATACACAGTGTACTCACTGCCTTTGCGCTGTCGATACAGATAGAATATCAGAGCAAACAGGAGGAGCAGAAGCAAAATGGAAGATCCAACAGATCCACCTGCTATCACACCTACAGGCACTATATCTAAAAGAGAGACACAGCCATACATTTACAGACACTATACTTCAGACAGCGAGAGACAGGCATGAAACAGATGTTTATATTACCTACAGATGCTATGTCTAAGTCAAAGACAGACAGTATAATATCTACAGGTACTACATCTGAGAGAGAGACACGTATTATAGATAGGAATGAGATATCTGAGAGAGACAGGTATTAATCTACAGCTATTATATAAGAGACAGAGACACATGTATAATGCCTATGTGTCAATCAAATAGATATTATATCTAAGACAGATATAATATCTAGCCACTATATCTGAGAGAGAGATACTATACAAATGAGAGAGACAGGCATAATACCTACAGACACTATGTGAGAGAGAGAGAGACCAATGAACGCTACATCTGAGAGGGAAAGACAGGTAAAACACCTATAAATTCTATATATATGAGAGAGAGACAGGCATAATATCTAGAGATGCTAAATTTGAGAAAGAGAGAGAGGTATTATATGTTGGTGTTATATTTGAGAGAAAGACACCTAAAGACACTACATCTGAGAGAGAGAGCAACAATTATTATAACTACAGATACTATTTCTAAGTGTGAGAGCGACAGGTCTCATATCTACAGGCATTGTATCTGAGATAAAGACACCTGCAGACAATATATATATAAGAGAGAGAGACCATTTATAGGCAGTTTATCTGAGAGAAAGTCACCTACACTTTATCTGAGAGAGACAAGAATTATATCTACAGGCATTATATAACTGTGATAAAGACACCAATGAACACTACACCTGAGAGAACGACAGGTGTTACCTATGGGTGTTATATCTGAGAGAAGGACACCTATGAACACTACATCTGAGAGAAAGATAGGAATGAAATCTACAGGCATTATATTTCTCAAAGAAAGACATCTACGGACATGATATGTGAGAGAGATACAGGTATTATATCTATAGCCATTATATATCTGACAGAATGACACCGACAGGTAATATATCTGACAGAGAGACCGGTATAATATCTACAGTCATTATACATCTGAGAGAAAGACACCTACGCACTACACTGTACCTAAACATTACACTATATCTGTGAGAGAGACAGACAGGTATTATACCTACGGATGCTATATCTGAGAGCGAGAAAGAGAGAGAGAGGTGTTACATATCTGAAATAGACCTATGAAAGTATGAATGCTCTATATCTGAGAGAGAAAGAGAGAATTATACCTACAGACACTATACCTAAGAAAGAGACAGTGGGAGACAATAAGACAGGTCTATAGACACTATTCTACCAGAGTGTTTTTTCCTGACCTGTCTCCTCCAGAGTGATGATCATGGTTCCTGGTCCAAAGGCGTTCCATGCCGTGCAGTTGTAGGTGGACTGGAAGTCAGACTCCATGACATTATTGATGGTGAGCGTGGACAGAACGGCGCCCCCTTGTGACGCAGGTCGGCTCTGCTCCACTGTGTACCTCTCCAACAGCGTTCCTCTCTCTTTTTCCCACACGTTCTCCTTCCAGGCCCAAACCTGCAGAAAAACATGTATGCATTCACACACACACACACATTAGTAAATACACACACAGGCAGGGGTTCACAGGCGTTGCAGCCCTTTTAGGATTTTGCTCTGAACTGTGGGAGAGCAGATAGTTCATACAAAATGAACAACACACCATCAAATATTCACAGCGCTAATGTCCCTCTCAAACTGACAACAGAGCGACAGAGAGAGCGGGGGGCGCAACAGGAAGGACGAGAGGATGACGAACAAAAAGCGTGGCCCACTCTCCTTTCCTCTCCTCCACTTTCTTTCCTCATTTATTCCATTATTCATTATCTCATAAGTACCGTCTTCACATTAAGGCCAGTCCTGTTGTGTCATGTCTCATTATCCAGTGAGCCATCAGGCAGAGAAAGAGAGCAACAGAGTGTGAGTCTCTATTACTAAACTCATGCATAATAGTACTATTATGGGCAAATCTAATTTTAATTAAATTTTTATTCCCTTTAATAACTTGCTTAAATATTACTCCAATAGCTCATTCTATTTTGTTAAGTTTGTGGACTGTTTATTTATTTATTTTTAATGATTCACTTTTTTAACTTTATTTTTTACTACTACTTTTCCCCTCTATTTTCACTATTCTTGCTTTACTTTTTTGGCTGTTATTTTAATTGATAATTTAGAAACTAGTATTTTATTTGTTAATATTACAATCTGTTTGCTATTTTTAATACTGCTATTCTGCTATTCACTTTTTCACACTGTTATTTTATTGGACTGTTGTTTTATTATATATATATATTTTTTATATTATTTATATTTTTATATATATATATATATATATATTTATATATTATATATTTTTATTTAAGTTTTCTTTTATAATTCATTCCTTTGAAACCATTCCCATTGTTAATACTATAGTTGCATTTATTTTCACTTACTTTACGTTTTTGCCATTATTTTATCATTTAAAAATGTAAATTAACAAAATATATTGTTAATATTACTAATATTATATTAGTTAATATTACTATTTGTTTTATATTAATAATTTTATTCTATTTTATTTTATTGAGCTGTTGTTTTATTTTATAAACCATTCCTTTTTTTCTTTGTTAATACTACAATTTGTTCCCTTATTTTCACTATTCTTCGTTACCTTTTTGCATTTATTTATTTTTTTAATGATTTTATCTGTTAATATTTGTTTTCTTTGTTTACTATTTTAATGCTATTTTTATTTTTATTATTTTTATTTATAATATTGATTTATTTTATATTTATTTTAGTTTTTATACACCATACAATTATTTTATTTGTTAATACTAAGTTTTACTGCATTTGAACTATTCTTATTTGTTTTATCTATTCAGCACAGCAGTTTTTATTGTGCCAAAGAAGCATGCTAAAATGAGAGAAAGGAAAAAGAGTGACTAGAAAGGTGGTTGAAGGAGAACGATAAAGAGGAGGACATTAACTAGAGGACAGGTGGAAGGAAGAAGGAGAGAGAGAGTGAAGGAAGGAGGAAAAGAGGCAGAGCGTTGAGTAAAGTGCTGAGATTGTTAAAAGCTCACTCATTTGTCTGTCATGTCGTGTCGTCTGCTGGTGATAATCGACACTGAAAGGTACAGGACTTTGTTCTGCGCAATCACTCTTTTTCTCCCCCTCCCCATCAGCCCTCCTCATCTTTCATGTCTCATTTGATATCTTCTTGACCTCTATTTTTCACGCTTCCTTTGGCTCTTTCTCTCTCCCTCTCTCTCTCTCAGTATTCAATCAAGTATAGTGTAAAGATGATAAAGGAAGGACAAGTACAGTACATTAATAGAATACATTAATAGAATACATAAAGCTGAATAAAGCTACTTTATGTCATTTTTGCACCATTAGTGCCAAGAAACAGCACTGAAAACCCAGAGAAATTATATTGGCAATGCATAACCAGAATTTCCTACTTGTAAAAAAGGAAGATGCAGCCCCACCTCAAAAGAACAAACTTTAAAACTCTAGAAACAGACATTTCTTTACTAAAATAATCTTGATTATTTATTCCACATTAATTTTTACACAGTATCTGTGCAATGCATGAAATGTATTGTTTGCAGTAAATCACAGTATGCCACATGTTCAGAATAACCTGTAATAAAAGCTGTATTTATGTACTGTACAGAGTGGGATTTCAACTCACGATTTTGTCCGGCGGAGGGGTGCTGGCTATGTAGCACTTGATTTCCCCCTTCTCTCCTCTCACGGCATACTGGATCGGCTCACTCGAGATGATTGGAGGACCTGGACACCCAATCACATCATAAGAGAGTCATATCACACTTTTCAAATCTAGACATATTTTTGTGTAGTTATGTATGTGTTACTGACCATTGACTGTAAGAGTGACTTCTGTTTCTCCAACACCAATTCTGGGAACGATGGCTTTACACACATACTGTCCTGCATCTGCCTGACTCACAGACTTCAGGAATAACTGATTACTATTACTGAGGACCTGAACAACAAAGGGTTGAATAAAGAAAGATAGACAGCATTAAAAATAGTCAATAGAGTGTTTTTGTTGAATGTGTACTGTACATGTGTAGAATTTTTGTGTGTGTTAGAGGTAAGTGCACTTTGTAGGGTGTAGGAAGCATTATTTAGTGTGCACTAACCATACTGGAGCCCTTCTTGGTCCATGTGAGGGTGAGCGGAGGATTTCCTGACCATTTACAGTTGAGTGTGACATCAGAGTCAACGTCCACTGTTACAGGTCTCGGCTCCACCACCAAAATTGGACCAACTACATGAGAGAGAAAAAGAAGACAACAAGGTTATTATAATTTACTAAAACAATTAAGATGAAGATTTAAAAACCACTAAAAGTAATTAAAATCAAATTTAAACTGAAAAACAAAAACACTAAAAGTTGTTTCCCTAAATGAAATTATGCAAACTTGCATTAGAAAAAAAATGTATCTGCATTTTAATAAACACATATCTCAATCTGTGGCTGTGAAAATGGTGTTTTGTAAATATGGATATGCCAAATCAGAACAGAACTGGCTTTATGTTTTAAATAACATTTAAATGTGAGAATGAAATAAAAACATAATGTGCACTAGCTGAACTGCTTAGCAATGGCAAACCCATACAGTATAATATAAACCTATCAATAGACCTGTGTGGTAGATCATTGGATGGATGGACTGAGATACTCACAGTGAACGTCCACCAAAATACTGACGTTAGTGCTGCCCACCGCATTAAAGACCAGGCAGGACACAGGCTCAGTGAAGAACGAGTGATCTGCTGTCGTCTCAAACACACTTTCTCTCGCTCCGTCCAGAATCACGCCCCCTTTAGCCCACCTACAACACATTACGCTTATTATAGTTAACTAATGCAGAAAAAAATTACAAATTAAATGAAATAAAATAAACATTAAAGGGGTCATATGATGCGATTTAAATTTTTCCTTTCTCTTTGGAGTGTTACAAGCTCTTGGTGCATAAAGAAGATCTGTAAAGTTGCAAAGACTAAAGTCTCAAATCCAAAGAGATATTCTTTATAAAAGTTAAGAGTCAACCACGCCTACCTAAAACGGCTCGTTCTAACACGCCCCCACATGTCTACGTCACGATGTGGGAAGATTTACATAACGCCGCCCAAATGTTCACGCAAAGAAAGATGGCGTAACTTTTATTCTCGCTGTAGTATTGTTGTTGCCGCCGCCGCCATGTCGTGAAGGCGCTGTGTGTTTCGTTGTGAAAGCGAAACTACTTTGTTTGGCCTTCCAAAAGAGGACGATATCTGCTTCGTCATGCCTAGAGCTGATCCGTGCTGGTTGCTGAGGAAATACATCAACTTTGCGCTGTGAATCGCCGGATCGGCTTTCACCGTGGAAGAAACGGAGTCCAGCCCGGGGTCGTCACATGTGGTTGCCACAAGCCCGCCAGACGCTCCTTCGTCGAATCCGCCGGCCGCACCGTTCTCAAGCCCTCCGGCCTCCGCTCACTCTAGGCCGCCGTGTGTGACGATGTGTTTCGTTGTGAAAGCGAAACTAAAACTTGAACTTATTGTATTTCAGCTATTAGCCAAGACAACATTTTTAATTTTCTTGAGGTACTAAAATAACTAAAACCAAAACGTGAATACAAATTAATAAAAACTATATATACATATTTAAAATTGAATAAATAAATAAACAAAAATGTCAAAAACACAACAAAATGACAATGATTTCAACGATCAAAAATAACACTGTAACACAAACACTGTGCATATGTAAAGCACATCACTGCGATCAGCATATACACCCACACTACACACTAACCTGTAGCCCATAATGGGAGGGTTGGCAGTGGCCTGGCAGGTAAATTGAACTCGCTCTCCTTCTAGAACTGAGCGAGGTTCTATAGACAGGATGACTGTAGGAGGATCTGGAGAGAGGTTGAGAGGTCATTAGGGCCCTTCTTGTGGATATACAGTATGCCAGCACAGCAAAGTAGGTGTACAAACACTTACGGTGGATGTTGAGAGTAACAGTGGCCCTCTTTCCCAGCGGGGCGGCCAGGTTTGAGGCCACACAGGTGAAATTTCGTCCTGTGTCTGTGTCCACTGGCTGGATCTCCAGAAAACTCTTTGTGGTCACCCTCTTCCTGTCCGCTAACACCTCCTGATAGATAGATAGATAGATAGATAGATAAATAGATAGATATCGTCTGTTCTCATATATGTGATTTTCATGCTATCTTCATTTGCTTGTGTGCTCACTCACAGTGCTGGTATGGGCTCCCTCCACTATGATCCCATCTTTGTACCATTCTATCGTTGACAGTGGCTTTGCTCCTCGAGACACACAGGTGAGGTTATATGAGGTTCCTGCTGTCAGCAGGATCTCTGGAGAGCCCTCGATAACAGGACCTTCAGGAGGAACTACACAGATAGACAGATAATATGCTGAAAGTGACTTACACACTGTGCACACAGGTTACATCTATAAATACTGACACATATATGGTATTTTGTTTCCTTGTGAATATTGTGTACTACACACTATTGTTCGAAGGTTTTGGGCCAGTAAGATTTTAAAAGAATATGTTTTTATGCATTAAACTGATTAAAAGAGATAGCAAACATTTATAATGTAAAAAATAAATTTCAAACAAATGCTGTTCTTTTAAACTTTCTATTCATCAAAGAATCATGAAAAAACTGTTTCTACAGGAATATTGAGCAGCACAAATGTTTTCAACATTGATAATAATAATAATGTTTCTTGAGCATCAAATCAGCATAATGAAGAATCAGGTGACACTAAAGACTGGAGTAATGATGCTGAAAATTCAGCTTTTTCCATCAGGAATAAATACAATTTTAAAATACATAAAAATAGAAAACTGTTATTTTAAATTGTTATAATATTTCACAATTACTGCAGTTTTGAACTAAAAAGTGCAGCCTTGATAAGTATCATTTTTAAAAACATTTTAAAAAATCTTTCCAAACCCAATATTTTGAATGGTAGTGTATGTGTGGAAAGTTTATTACTGCATTGTTTCACTTGTGTATGTAGTGATGTAACTTGTGTTAGTGATTTGATTTTTCAATGAAGTCTATGTAATGTAATGATGGCAATGCACACTTTTGTATATCATGCCAGAATAGATTCACATAAAAAAAAGAGATGTAAATAGTTAAATTGCTCCGAGGCAGAAATACAGCATCTCTGGAGCTGCTTTTAGTGTCCCTACAAAGCAAGTTAAATAAAGAAAGCAGAATGTATTCTTTAGAAAGAGACTTCTTGTGTGTTGGTGGCTATGTTTGGACTGCACGGTGCATACTGTTTACTGCATACTTTTTAAAAATTATTTGTGAAGATTATGTGCCAATGAACATTTCAAAAAGTAGTATATTACAACCTTGTCACAGCAACAATCTCAGATATAAAAATAACTGACTTTTGTATTCAATTTTCTGCAAATAATGAAATGTTAAACACGATTCATATTGCTTTAGGTGCTTTCATCACACTGGAAATGGAAACTTAAGTTCAGTGTATTGCATTTTGGGATACAGTGTTCCACACAGTGTGCTGTTGTTTACTGAAAAGCACAAGAATTTCATGCAAAATAAGTGCATACTTCTTACATTATACATACTGTAAAAAACACTATAATGGCAGTATGTTACTCTGATCATATTCAGTGTGTACTCACTCAGAACAGTGAGTTTAGCTCTTCTGGACCTCAGAGCGGCTTCAGTGGCCTGACACTCGTACAGTGAGTCATCGGTCAGGTCTGCTGATGTGATCTCTAGGTTATACTGCCCAACATCCAAAATACGCAAAACACGGTACCGTGGCCATGCTGAAACACACACACACACAATCACACTGTAACACAGTAAAATGTTTCATGCACTTATCATTTCAGATGAGATAATACTGTGCTGCAAAAGCCCCAGCATAGCTTGTATGTACAGTCAGAATTCATATTTATTTTGCCTTGACTATTTTGCTTGACTGTCCCTATTCCATGGATTTCCCCTCACGATAAACATACAGCTCAAACAAATACATATTCTTTGTAAATTTATTGAAAGCTCCAGCGATCTTTGAATTATAAAACCCAAACCATAGGTCATACAGCCAGTTTAGCTAATCAGTGTGATAATGTGGTGGATTGTAGGACATGCGTTTGGCACCAGAGGGCAGCACTCCAACACATTGGCATTCAGACTGCACACTCTCTCTAGCACACACATTATGACATCATCGATCTGGATACCAGGAGGACAAAAGTATTGGCAACGATTACATCATCCTTTAGCTCAACCAATCAGCAAGCAGACGCTTAACCTGTGCGCGTGTTTGCACATCTATATGTGTATGTGTCTGTGATTAGAGCGGACAAAAGAGCAGCACGTCCAAAAAAAAGGGAAAGAGAGAGAGCGAGACAGAGGACAAAGAAAGAAAACGGCAATGTCTGGACAATGAAAGGAAAAAAATATGTCTGTTGCATCATTTTAAATGGAGGACAGGGAGAAATCTTATGTTGTACTGTATGTTGCATTGCAACATATATATTATATAGACATACATAGAGGCATGAGGCTTGCCAGATTTCTGAGCCAAATTCCAAAAGAACTTGTATCATTGAAAATTAGGTTGCACAATTTGTGTAAGAAAAGACGGTGTTTATCTAAAACACTTAAGCAGAAATCACGCATTCACATATCTAAATCTAGTCAGTAATTTGCTTTATACTGAAATCCAGTCATCATACCTGCCCTCGTGTCACTCCAAACTAGTATGACTAGATACAACTAAAATGCATGGTGATCGCTGACTGACGCAGTTGCAATTTTTCTTGGTTTATTCATTTAAAACCATGTCACCTTTAATGCTTAACCAAATTTGTACTGCTAAACTTTCCTGTCCTGCAATTAAAGGTCTTTTTTTTTCTGTGGTCTTGTCTTATCTCACCTAGAGCTCTTATTGAGCTCATAATGTCACTCATTTCCCCTCTAAAAAAGGTGCATGACGCTTTCGGTTAGTGTGATCTGATGTGTGTGTGCGCTCACCTCTCAGATCTTCTCCGATGCCAAGAGCAAGCCCATCTTTGGTCCATTGTACAATGCCGGTGTAGTTAAACACCACGCAGGACAAAACTACTCTCTCCCCGACCACCACAGACTGATCCGCCGGCTCCTGAGAAAACCGCGGGCCGCTGAACACTGACAGACACAGAGAGAGAGACAAAAATGAGCTTATATGTTACTGTACACTGTACATGGGACACTGTAGTTTTTTCCCACTTTTATGATGATTTTCTTTGGTGTGCCATACATTTTTGTTAAGTACTTCTAACCCAAGTCTAGAAAGGAACAATTTCGATTTAAATATTTAAAAATATCTAAATTCTGCCTTTGAAGACATGAACATTTGTAAAAAATAAAAATAAAAATACAATTATTAAATTACAAATTTAAAATAACTATTTTCTATTTCAATATATTTTAAAGTGTAATTTATTCCTTTGACGGCAAAGCTGAATTTTCAGCATCATTACTCCAGTCTTTAGTGTCGCATGATCCTTCAAAAATCACTAATATGTTGATTTGGTTTTAAAGAAAATTTTTTTTAATGTCAGCTCTGAAAACAGTTGTGCCAAGAAATATTTTTGTGGAAATCATGATAATCAGGATACTCTGTTGAATATAAAATATCAAAAGAACAACATTTCTTTAAAATATTTTGTTACATAAATGTCTTTACTGTGTCTTTTAACCAAGGAGTTCATCACAAGGGCATTTTACCATGCATTTAAAATACTAGGGACATTTTTGACCCAATCCCTGGTTAATTTTCGACCCAGATATTTTGTGTTAATCAATGTCTTATTTTAATATATATAAAAAATTAAGATTAATAAAAAAAATTGGTCACACTTTACTTTAAGGTCCAATACTCACTATTAACAAACCACTATAACTTTTGCCTCAATAAACTATTAATTTGCTGCTTCTTAATAGTTTAGGTATTGGGTAAGATTAGGGATGTAGAATATTCATGCAGAATATGTGCTTTATAAGTACTAATGAACAGCCAATATGTCATTAATAAGCATGCTAATAAGCAAATAGTTAATAGTGAGAATTGGTCCCAGTGTTACCAAATCTTTTTACAAACATATGCTACCCAGACTCTTACAGCCACATCCCAAATTTTCATCCATTACATCATCACAGAGATATTTCTGAAAAATTCTGTCACTCTCTCTCTTCCTGCCTCTCTTTCTCCTCCGGCACATGCCACTCCTCCAGGATTATTGGTAACAGTCCAATTTGCTAATTAAGGCAAAACCTTAATAAAGGGAGGTAGAAAAAAAAAAGAAAATGTGCACCTCCAGAGGATTACATTTACAGCCATAAAACAAAACTCTTCATCACACTTAAAGGAATAGGTCACACCAAAATGGAAATTCTGTCACCATTTACTCCAGCAAGCCGATAATTAAGAATGTACTGGACACTCTTCTCCATATAGTGCAAATGAAAGAGGACTGAAGCGGTCACACTGACTCTGGTGTTCCATGGAAGAAAGAAAGTCATACGGAAAGTCAAGGGCTCTGGACATCGAGTTTCTGTCATAAAACCAGCCTTGTCTCTTTGCAACTGTCCATGCATCATGATTGGACTGCAGGAGACATGACGTCATGTCTTTGCGGCACAGCTGCTTATAACAGCGCTTAATGACACTGGCCTGTGTATCAGAATGCTCAAAGCAGCTTCACTCAGTAAACTAGTCATTAGTGATGCAAAAGTGCCCTCAGAACAAAGACACAACATCTGATGTCTGATTCATAGACTGATTCGTCTATGTGTGTGTGTGTATTTTTGAAAACTCTGAAGTATTTCCAGATGCTACAGTATAAGGAAAACATCCCTGAAGTGGTGCTGCCAAATGTTAAGCATTTAGAAAAGCAGAGCCAAATGTAAAACGTCATGGAGAGAAAGAGATAAACTGAGAATGACAATAATGTACCCTGTAGCACACAGAGACACAGAAACAAGCTTTTAATTATGTGCCGAGAGAGGTAAGCAAGAATACATGACTTAGTCAAATGGTCTCAGACGGAACATTCATTTGTCCACATCTTTCCTCAGGGCAAGTCTTGCTCTAATTTTGCACACAAACAAATAAAACTGTATTTTGTGTGGGTGTGTGTTGTGTGATGTCCATGAGTATTTGTGTGCCAGTACTAAAATTAATGTCTAGTCTGCCTCAGGTACCAAAATATTTACATCACCAGATTAAAGGGATAGTTCACTCAAAAATGAAAATTCTGTCAATAATAACTCACCCTCAAAGTTGTTATTTTTGTTTTCTTTGCGCAGAAAAAGTATTCTCATAGCTTCATAAATTATTATAATTAATGAATTATTTAAAAATATGTAATTTGTGTTCCGAAGACCAATGACAGTCTTTTGGGTTTGGGACGACATGAGGGTAAGTAATTAATGACAGAATTTTCATTTTTCGGTGAACTATCCCTTTAAGTTACCGTTATTACTAGGAATCGACTCTGACTTTGATTCAAACTTCGGAATCGATTCCCAGACTGGATACATTCAGGCAGGCAAAGTGAGATCTTACACTAAACAGAGCAATATAAAGTATAATGGTTTACAATTTAACATTTCATTTTAAAACAATAAATAAATATAGGTGCATTCATAAGCACACAGCTTCTTCGAAAAGCCGGATTAGCCACTGGCAGCTGAGGTGGAAGCCTCTGTAATACGTTTTCCACTTGTTTAAAATTAATAATGAACTTTGTTTTCACCTCTTTCATTGCTTTTCTGTTGCCTCTTCTTTCAAGCACGAGTTGCTTTCGGTCAAGACCAGTCAGTAATCATGATCGATTAGCTAGCGTTGTTTTGTTGTTGAGATGACTCTGTGTTTTGAACAACGTGCTGCTGAGTGAATGATTCAAAGATTCACTGATCGCCATCTGCAGGCGCAATGAGGTGACGTACAGGTTGCTGAAGGAAGCAGAGATTCTAAACGAGTCATTTTGTGGACAGAAGTACAAGATTTGATTCACTGGGATGAATCGAAATTGTGAAGAATCTTTTGGAGTATGCATTGTAGTAGCAGCAGTAAACGCAGGATTGCCAGGTCTGCGAAACCAAACCAGCCCAACTGCTAATTAAAACTAGCCCAAAACTAGCCCAACTTTTTGGAATCAGCCTTTGGAGTTGACTATAATGTTGACTATTTCCAACAAATCAAAGAAATGAATCTTTATTTGATTCAATTGATTAGTTTCTCTAATCTTCACTGTAATCTTCTCTTTCCTACATCAGTGTCTTTATTCACTTTTTTGTGGTCGCATATGGTGTCCCTCTATGCAGCAGTTGAAATAAACTTTAAATACCAATAAATCAAAGTGTTTGCATATTTGCATTCTGTAAAACAATGTGTGTGTGCTGTTAAAAGGTATCCTGGGATGTAGAGTAACTGCAACAATAAATATAAATATAATATAACATTTTAAACACAAATAAAGTGGTTATATTTTGAATACATATTTTATTTAACATGTAAAATTGTATTATTATTATTATTATTATTATTAATAATATTTCCAAAATGTCCAGTGAGCTTTAAACTATCATGATGGCATTTTAGAAAAGTCTGGATTTGCACTAATTTGCCTGTGGTATTACTGTCTCCCTTGGCGGAAATCATAAAATAATCAATATATGAAAATTAAATATTCAATTAAAATTAAAAAGGAATGCAATGTACCTTATGAAACAAAGTTTAAATAGGAATTAAATTTTATTATTTAAAAAACTTATTTATTTTATTTACCAATTCTGCTTCTAGTTTTCTACTCAATTTGTCTTTGATTTTTTCAACCCAAAATACTCTGTAATTTCCCTTCCATCTGTTTCCAGCCATATTTTATTCACTCTTTCATTTCATTTCTCTGTGGCGCTAATTGCTTTTTTAGAGTATAAATATGTTAACCTCTCTGCACACATCAGCTCTCATTAACATCAGTAAGTGTGTGTGTGTGTCCTGTTGTGCCTGTTTGACTTTCTCTTGTGAGTACCTGTATGTGTAGGTCTATTTCTTTTCCTATGTCATGTTTGTTGATCTCTTTAGGAAAAGTGTGAATAAAGCTCTCCCACTTCTCTCTATCCCACTCATTCCAGAGGGAAATGTAAGTGGAACAGAGGAGAGAAACACACAGATACAATTTCAATTTTGGCTTTTTACAGTACTTTCAATCCTTCTCCCCGCTCTGATTTCATCCCACTCTTTAAATATCCTCATCTTTCACCTTACTCCTCCTTCTTTTCGCTCAGTCCTCACCTTTTTTCTATTTGATTACTCCTCCTCCATCTCCTTCATTGACTCTGTCCATTCATACCTTCACGTCTCTGAGTTGATGGTGGACACTTTTTACCTTCTACAACACAGGCTACACATTTCTACACCTTTGCATTTTTTTGTCTTCCCACCATCTCTATTTTTCCACCATATGCATCTTTCTTTGTTCTTGTTCTCTTTGAACTGGAAGAAGTTTAATGTAATTCAAAAAGTTCTAACACATCCCGATCAACCCTTGCGTTATTATTTAATATTTGGCTTCAATTATACTTTGGAGATTTCTCAATTTTTTTAGCGTCTCTTTCTGCAAGTCCGCTTTGCCAGTAGGTGGCGACAAGTGACTGTTGAGTGAGTCATTTGAATCATTCGCTCAAATGATTCATTCATTGAATCATTTAGGGGCCCTTCACACAGAACAAGTTTTTGCATTCCACTGCTGCTTTTTCATTGTTTTTCCATCTAAAATTCGCTAAATGGACAGTGACCCTCACGTCTTTTACACCATCTTGAAAATGACATGGTGTTCTAAAAAAATGTGGCATTCAAGTTAAAAGTAGGTAGTTCATTAAAAAAAAAAAATGTGCCTTGCAACTTTGCTTTTTTCCCATTCGACTGCACATCTGGCATTTTTTCTTATGAAAGATTCACTGAATCATTTACTCAATCGATTTATTCAAAAACACTGAATCATTCAGTATCAAATCTACACTCACTGCTGCTTTTCTTTGGCAGTGGACTGACGAAACTGACGAAGTAACTAGTAATGTTGTTTTTAAATTGTAAATTACCGAATATTATATAATCAGGATATTGAAATTCTTAATAAAAC